ATAAAGTGGATTGTGAAGAACTTTTCAACTCTCCAACGACTGAAATGCATTCAATATCACTCAAAAAGAGAAAACGATTTCAAAAAGCCCTAAATATGCCATTTGAATACATAATATTACAGATATACATTAATATCATGAACGTCGACCTCAATATGGAGTCATATTGTGTCAAACCCCCCCCCCCCCACCGTTCCCCATCCCCAACACCCACCCACACACACACTTTCCAGCACAAATTTATATGCCACTAGAAAATGTCACGTACAAATCAAGTTGCCCCTGAGGGCTCTTTTTGTACAGTTTCCTATTTTTCTTTCCTCTATCGAAAGGTTCACTTTCAAAGTGCTCTGTGCTCTGACAAAGTCTGCATTGCCACTTCACATTAATACTCTTGAAATGAGCTGGTCGGGAAAAGTGAGGCATTTTAGTGTCGAAACTCCCATTGTGACGTAAAAGAACGAGTCGCACAATGGACCCTATTATAGGGAAGCCATTTTTGATCGTGTGCCGAGAATCTTATTCACTGCAATCCTTAAAGGGGAAGGTGCTAGACTATTTTGGGATCAAAGCCTCACTTTCGTTGTGGCTTGATTTCTGAAAGCTCAGCACGGCTTCCGTCCCAGGTGAGATCGTGACGCCCACAAGTGCGGAGTACCGTGGTGCAGGATAAGGGTGCGCATAGTCAGTGACTTGAAAACTCGAAGGATGATTACATTGGTAATCCCCTCAGGTCAAAAGGTTGGGGGATATCCCTCCCACCCTCTCCCCCTAGGATCACCGCCCATGCTTAAAGCATGTAGATGTGAACCAAAAAGTTTAAATGAGTAATCAGCATAATTGGCGTTAGTGTATGGTGAACTTTATTTCATCACTCTCATTTTATTTTCGGACTCCCAATTAAAGAATAGCCCCAACAAAGTAACCCGGCTCTCTATAAGTCTTTTAAATTTGGGTAAAATCTGGCACACTGAGTTCTTTAAATTCACGTGAACATAACAATTGGAATTCTCCATACTAAAGACACTGTTGCTATACCTCGTGATTCGGGGCAAGCTTTTGCTTAGTTACATAAGAGACGCCTTGCAACAATACACTGTTGTCAATGGATAAGAACGGCACAAAGGAACCAGTCCAGTCCAGAGATGGTGGTCGCTATGCAAAAGCTTGCCCCAAATCATGAGGTATAGCAATAGGGTATTTAGTCTGGGGAATTCAAACTGTCATGAAATCAACATTACTCAATGTACCAGATTTTATTCAAACTTATCTCGTAATTTCTTCATTCAATATGGCCGACTTTTGAATAAGGCCACGCTCCAGTGGTTGATCAACAAAAAGAGTTTCCAGGAGACTACGTTACCAACATGATGGCAGCTCGTGCAATGCCACAATACAACATTAGAAAAATTCATGAAGAGCAAACTTTGCCTGGTATGGAAACTGGCCAACGACCCCCACGCGCAGAGCAACACCGCCGACAAGGTTCAACCACGTGAGTGGATTCGAGCGGATTACGTAACAACCTTTGCAGCCGGCGCGGGGACCAGGCGAAAGAGTCGCTGTTTGCAAGTACAGCCCCAGTTTTGCTCCAAACATGGCGAATACGCGAATTGGGAATGGTTGTCGGCATACCTGAACTGTAACCAAATACCAAATACAATTATACACAAATTGCGGTAGGTGTTGTGACAACGGAAAAGAGTCTCCGTTTTTCAAGTGCAGCCTCGGTTTCGTTTCCAGTATGGCGATTCCGAAAAAAGGATGATTTTTCGTCACTGTCAAACGTCAGGACGAACTACATGTACATTTGGAAATACAAATAGCAATGCCCAGGGCTGCCTGGTTTTTTTCGCTTTCAAACGCTTCACTTTGACGGGACGCTTTCTTCAGAACCAGACTCGATAATAATTCTACTAAAATCTGCGTATGTACCAGGCACTTGTCTTTGAAAAAACCCTCTGCCGCCTGCGACCCTCTGAAAAAAATAAATTGCGGGAATTTAACAAAGTTGCTGTGAAATTTCTGTGTTGGAGACGTTAGCAAATACCAACATCCTCCGTGTCTTTGGCGAGCAGAATTACGCACGAACACCGCCTGGAAGTTTGGTACATGTACTCACCATGACAACTAAGTGACAACTGAGATAGATCATAAAATTTCACTTCTATCTACCTATAGTAATTATTATTAATATTCATATACTGATATTACATCGTGTGCATTATCGTTTTCTGTGGACGGCCATGAATGTAGTGGCGCTAAACTCAACCTATGCTGGGGGTGCACGCGGGACTACCCCAGTAGTACCTTATTCTGGTGCCCGAGTCAGTCTTTTTTCAAGGCTTGACAATACGTCCAGGGACAAGACTATCCACAGGCCTATGCAGAGGAAAGAAGCAAGGCTAGGCTAGGGCAGTCAGCAGCAACATGGGGTTGGGATCTTCCTACCACCGCCAGAAGTAAACAGGGACTCGATTTGAAACGCCCGTAGACGGGTCTACATGGCACTTCCCACCCGGTTGCGCGTAAATAGTTCACAAAAAGACTGCGCAACAGTGAGCAGAGGCAACCGAGCGCGGGTGCGCGGTGAAGCAAGAAAAGGTGCGGGTCGGGCAGAGTGTGTGTCAGTCACTGCGAGATATGGCAGTCAAGGAGGGGCCGGAGGATCACGGAAGGGCAACAGTAAACAAGTAGAAAGAACCTACATTTCACCGGTAGCATATTTTCCCCAAAACTGTTGAAATATGGAACACTCTTCATCAGATCATCGTCCGCAGGTTTCAGTCAAAACTACTGACAACTCCGTTTGCAACAAATCCCCCAAATCAAATTAGTTTCCACTCACCCGAAGGCCTCTTCGTTAACTTCTCCAATGGAGAATTCAGGAGGAATTTCTACAAAGTACCAATTACCAACCAACCCTCCGTCCTTTTTCTCATCCTAACCAAAAGCTCTATCCAAAAGCCTAACCTATTGCAGCGTGTTGAGTTCGTTACTCTTAAGATGGCATAATCGTGGTTCACAAACTGTAACTTCCAACAGTAAATTATAACAAGCATCAAAGGAATTATGACAACGAACGAAAGGCTGGTTTCTCGATCAACATTGAAGATAACCTGCTTAACTTCTTGAGAGATATGCAAGGTTATAGATACACCGGCCAACTCACACTTACTCTGAATCTACCCCGGCTGCAGTCACCGTTTCTGTATCGGAGACCTCATCGGGCTCTTTGCTTAGGCCGTCCGGGTCGGGGTTGACTTCCCACACCACCTCAAACTCCTCGTCGCTGGAGGAGGACATCGCAAGCTAGGACACCGCACAGCGGGGTAAATGAACTCTGTTTTCTTCAGATCGTCCGTATGTCCTTATCACTTCTCGCACGTCGCAAATGGCATTAGGTCACAATAGACCGAACCACCATTCCACCAGATGAGCTTAATGCACACCGAAGAACTAATGCCCCGCAAGAGGCACAGGTAACCAACCCGTCGGCCGAGGAGGACTGCAGATACTCTTGCAGGGCACCAGGAAGGCTAGGCACTGAACACATCCGGCTTTGCTTGGTAGGCGTGCTGGCACACAGGTGGCGTTGTGACATCAATACACGTATTTACCCACTATCTAACTTATTAACCATAACTGGCAGCGTTTATAAGTGGAGTTTGCATTGAGCTCCCCACCGATATCCAAAGTCAACACGGCCAAAAATCCAACAGGTCTGCCGTCATCAGCTTGCACTAGCACAACGCTACGACGTAAACCATAAAAAGCGCAATGCGTGGTCTGCATGGCTGTTTGCACTTATAAGAATAAAGGAGCGCGCTTGAGTGACGGTCCATGACACTGCGGCGGTAGGCCAGAAGAGGCAAAGTAAAAATGCGCGCCTTTCAAAGGACGATGTTTTTTACTATTCTCAACTGTTTTTTTTATGACCGTAGTACATGCAATTTTATGTTACCCCGTAGAAAACACACGTCTGCTGAATGGTGTCATTGTCCTAACGTTCTATTTATATGCGGAGCGACCAATTCAATCTTGCACAAAAACATTACTGTGTAAGCCTCTACAGGTGCTATCGGCGGTCCCGGGATTGGGGGAAAACGAGACTGTACGAACTCTCTCGTGTATTTGACAATGCGGGAGCATCGTGCAGAAGCCATCGACAAGAAAATTTTAAGGACTCAATCGAAATGCACTCGAACGGCAAACTGCCGTTCGAACGAGGAGTTTGTCGTGTCCAAGACCCCGAGCTGGACCAAGAGAGGGCGCAATTTTCCTAGTAACGGCGGCTCCTTTGGTGGGAGATGCACTTCGCTGGTGCACAAACGACTATAAAATGTACGCGTTATGGTCACGTCTGTATACCAATGGAATCAATACTCCCTACCAACATGGCTCTTTCCAATCAATGAGAGGGTGCTTCTGCTCAAGACGGATATGCACTCTAATGCACTCGCATTTGGCAAGTAACGCCGCCGTTGGTCGAACAGGTATATGAAGAATACGGGTGAGTCACAATAGCCTGCCCACTTTATCTATCATTTCCTTCTGAACAATTTGAATTCCTCTTGAAGTAACAGTTTTAAAAGTAATAAAAAAAACAGAACAAAACCTTTTGAAGTAAAAGTTTTAAAAGTAATCTAGACAGAACAAAATGTAAGCAGTCCACATTTAGGCACAAATTTAACCCGCGACGGCCGCGAACCAACTTTCCCTACGAGCGTTGCTGCGCCACAGAATTCTGGTCGCATGAGTCTTAATGGCCGCAGAGCCCCATGACCGAAGAGACTCCACACTTGCTTTGCTGAGAAAAAGAAACTAAACGGAGTATGGCCCCCATACAGGGAAAAAACTAACGTTGAAAAGTACTTTGGTTGGGTAAATTTACGATGGGGGTAAATCCAACCTCAGTTTTGCCCATACCGAAAACACCCCGTCAAATATGTTCATATTTGGTAATTTAAAGGGATGAAAATTGACAATTTGAGACTTACGATGAAATGAGATCAAAATCACTGCCAAGCCTCCCCAGAAATTCCTCCAACTCCTCGCTGATGGCGCTATTCATGAGCTGCTGGCGCCGCCTGCGGCGGCTCAGCGCCAGCAGGGTGTCGCCCACGCTGTCGAAGCCGGCCGAGAAGTCCACCAGGCTGATGCGGCCGTCGCCATCCCGATCCAAGGCCTGCGACCAAGAGGGAAGCCTTGTAAACGATTGCCATAAGCAGCGCGGTCCTCATCAGAAACACAAGTGGGAGGCCAGGAGAGGCCACCCCTTCACCTCGCCTCCTTATACAGTGCACCTATCTTTCCTCACAAAACTGGACATATGCAGCAAGGTATGAGACGGAGAGAACCCCCCCCTGCTTTGTGTTGGTCATTGTCTCACAGGAATCTGGGGAATTCCTTTCAGACATCTTGGGGGGGGTGTTAAGTGACAATAGTCTGGAATGTGTATAGGGATTGGACATGTTGGGGGGTACCCCTCGGTCTCATTTCTTGCTGGGTATAAAACTGGGGCTTCTTGGTCGGAAGGCTGTTCCTCCTTATCAAGTTAGTCAAGGACCATCGGGATTGTTCACGTATTTTAAAGGGCATCGAATTCAGCAGAACAATGCGAGAAACTTTTTTCTGGCGAATTCATTAGGGTCGGGGATATGCTGCACCTGCACAGCCAACCCCAAAGCGTATAAGAATTCACTTTAACGGACAAAAAATACGGGCAAACCGATGAGATTCGAGACAATTTTAGTAACTTTCCATTGAAGTCTTTTCAGTGCAAACTCTTCTTTTATCAGATTCATTTTTGTTATGAATAAACCTTTTCCCTGGGTCGTACGGTCTGGTTGATACAGGCGGAAAGTATACACTCTGGGGAAGTATTTTAAATCATCATCGAATACGTAGACACCTGCAAGCCGTAAGATTCGTACATTGAACAGGTGTCCGACCGAGTGAAAGGCCAGACTCACCTCGAAAACTTTCTGCAGTTGGTCTGGGTCCAGCTCGTGGCACACCACCGCCAGTTCGTGGCGCTCGATGTAGCCGTTGCCGTCCAGATCGCAGGCCACGAACAGCCGGCGGATGGAATCCGGGCTGAGCCCCTCCTCGTAGGCCATAAAGGGCCCGGAGTTCTGCGGATCGAAGTAAGAAAAGGTGGGAAACGTGATTCTATACGGAACCGTGCGATCTTGGCTTTAATGCAGAAGATTAATGCGTTTGAAACTGTTTGTCGATGGTAAGGAGCAGTTTACGGGCGTGCCAAGTTTTATACGAGGAGTCTGAGACGCTAAATTTTAGGGAAACTTCGACAAGGGAAGGTGACAATCTTCACTCACAGAAACTCAAACCAATGCAAATTATGTCCTAATGGACAAACAAGTTGAAGTAGGTCAACAGTGGCAATAACGTTTCTAAGCAACAGATCAATCACAGTAAGATTCCTTGTTTGTCTTGAGGGGAGGTTTGGGAAGGGTTGCGCGATCCTTCCCCTATAGTCAGCTACGCGACGAGGCTCCATGAAAACTTGTCCAAAATAATTTCCAGTGTATTTCAATTCCTACACTTTGTCGTATGCGGCCCAAGATAGCTGTGAGTTATCCTTCACAGGATATGAAAAAACACAAATTTGTCATCTAGTCTGAGGCTAATTGTCTGTCCTAAAACCGTGCAGACTTTATGAATACGTGCAATATCAAACAAAACGATCACATAAATTCAGCTTTCAGATGATCAGGTAAAGTCAGAATGCATATCCACACCCGTCATTATACATGCATTCGATACATGTTTCTCCTCAACTTCACCCTCAAATTGTACATTCGAACCCGCCCCCATTCCTGTCGTGACAAACGTGTGTAATTACCACCCAGATAGAACGTAAGGCCTGCACGTGTGCATTTTCAATACCCGTCTGATTATGCGTTGGAGGTCATCGACACACATTATTTACATTCATTCCTTTCTACGAAAATTGAGGGCATAAGCGTCAGCACTAAAACCCACGTCAATGACGAGGATTCTCCGGTGGCAAAAATGCTGGTACGCGGTCCCTGTGCATAACCGCCCTGGGCTCGGCCTTCACACGGTTCAAGATGGAAACGCGGACGGTGGCCATACGCTTGAATCATCCACCCTCACAGAGATCCAATTGAACACTCATCAGACACTACAAAACAACAAGGATATTGTCCTTCGTTTCCGAGGCCATCCTGTGAAGGGCGAATATGTATTTTATCTTAGCAGATGGTCTGACTAGTAAGTACATTTTCCACACGTGTAAGGACGAATTACAACTGGTGGGTAAAAGGTTAATCTCCTCGTGGGTGTGTTTCGGTGACGATCCATCGGCTCTACAAACAGGGGGCTGAAAACATGGAGGTATAGGAAAGGCCGCCACAAAGACTGACTCAGGGGCGCAGTCTACGAATTCAAGCGAGAATTTCTGGCCAGCTCATTAGCATTAAAAGTCCCCCCCCCCAACAGTATCTTTTGAAAAAGGAAATTGTATGGCCCACAAATACGTGAGATTGTGCGTGAATTTTTGCCAGGATTAACTCCCTGGGGCTTTGGGCTTTCATCTGAGAATGGCTAAAACAATACGGTTGAAAAATGATCCTCACGCCCAAGAAAGTTGGGTAGTTGCCACTTGAAAAATGGCTGCAAGCAGACTTCGGAAAAATCACTTTTCGGTGAAATGTATCTCGTGTGCAAATTCGCAGCATGTATACTCGACCTGACGTCACAGATCGCGTTCATGTTAATTCGCTTTCGCGCCAGGTATATGAAGCGGTCTTCATCTGATTCATTACAGGCAATTTATACACTGCTTGTGTACGTCACAAATATGTTAGACTTATGATTATAACAAGGCCTGGTCTGTATAATCATGGAGAAATAAAACACATCAGCACGCACCAGATTCAAGGCATCTGTCTCTCAGTGTAAAAAAAAAAAAAAAAAAAAACCTGGATGAAAGGCATCGCGTATAGGTTCATACAGACTTGGAGAAGCTCTGTGCGGAGAAAATACATTCTACGAGCGGCAAGAGTTTAACAAAAATCACGTGAATAAGGGAATATATTACGGGAAAAAAAACACTTTTAGGCTTTTTTTTTCACCGGCCACACCCTCCTCTCCCATCGTCATCTCGTCGAAATGTTCCCACGGACAGTACGGCCGTTTCACAATAGTGCGCCACCAAGAGTTTGCAACACGTTGACCAATCGCAATGCGCGAAATCTGTCGACCCTTTAGATTTCGCACACTGTGATTGGTCAACGCGTTGCAAACCCTTGGTGGCGCACTATCGTGAATCGCCCGTATTGTAGCCCGTCGTTGTCCTGACCTGTCGTGAAGGCAAACCTACACTGCACACAGTCACGTAGGCCCACTTGGTATATCCAGCGGGGGGTACTTGCCCCCCCCCACGGATTTGGTTTTTTTTTAATCATACGTGAGTAGGAAAGAAAGTTATCGGTATGTTTATTTGTCTCAGGTTAGAACCCAAATCCTGAAAAACCAACACGTGCAAACAAAAGCAAAGAATGCTGGGACCGTGGGTAAAGCATTTGAATTTTTTCTCCCCAATGTCATATTGAATGAGCCCGAAGCTGCGGCCGCTTTTGAATTTGCCCTCGCGATACCGAAAGCTGCCACCGCTGCGTAGGCCTACACTCTCGTTGCGGTACTGGAAGCGTCGTCTTGTCTCCTGCTTTGAACCACTGCCAATAACACCGTTATATACTTCGATCGATCCCCCGAGGTAATTAACGAGCAACCGGTCGCTTTAGTCGACCAAACACCGCCAATTGTCTGCAAATCCGCCGGTTAGCGTTGTTAAACAAATGTTCCCGACCGCGTGCTGATTAATTTAATTTGGCAAACCGCTGGGGAGAAAATGTGATTTACGCGCAAAAACCCGTCGAATGATTGCAGGAAGCTGCTTGGACAATGCCGGGTAATAAGGACCACTTAAAAAATGCCTATTTATGGAGCGTTTGAATTTACCGCTGTGTGCGATGATGACACAAGGGGGGAAGTTTGCGAGTTCATCCACAGGTTGTAATTACAGAGATATTTCATTACATCACCATACACACTGTGACCGTGCCCTGGTTTCGTTAAGTGTTACGTGTATTTGTCTTCCCGCAGTTCGATCCGTGGAGCCAGTGGCACAGCGTGAATTGACGTAAGCAGGCCCTTGAAAGTTTGCCCCCCTGCTGGTACTAACATCAGGACGCGGAGTGTTGCGTCCAGGATTTGTCGTGGGGGAGGGGGCCAGAATTTACCCCAAAAATAGCTTAAGATCTCCCCGTTGAGTTGGAGGGGACTAGGATGTACGATTGCAGAGGCTTTGCATGGTGGCCATCTGACAGGGCAGTTCTTTTGTTGCATAGGGAAACCTTCTTTGTGCATCACCCGTGCAGCAGAAGCACTGGCCTACAAGATGGCCGCCATGCAAACCTTCCATATCAGAGGTAGAGTTTAAGACGTGACTGTATTTTGCAGCCTGCAGGAAGGGCCGCGGTACTAGTGCTGAAAGCTGATTACGTCAGAAGAAAACAACGGAAACATCGGTCTCGGTAGAGAAAAAAAGTGGAGCGCCCCCAAGAAGGGGAATTACCCTGAGAACATTTGGGAGACAGATCGGGGGTACGAAAAACAAATAAAGCATAAATATTGCACCTTGAAGGACAAACAAAATGCTTAAACATGGGTTCCGCTGTGCTTCATACATCCATACAAAATTTTCTTCTCTGTGAACGACCATAAATGGCTGACCTTGAGGAAGTTATGGGTACTTATATTACCACCACTCTGCACTGTCAAACAAAACTACAACTGTACAGCGTGAATTCTATTCTTGAACGCCATGTCTACCCATTCTATTAACGACCACCCTTAGTGGGTTGTAGCTGTATGGTGAACTTAAGCCTCCGTTCCTCCATTATGGGCCCCTATACACGTCTGTTTTGTCTGCAAACGATCACGCTGTAGGATAAAGTTCCATACTATGAGTCATAACATGGCACTTTATCGTACATGTTATCATTTATGGCATTTTATGACCCTCGATAGGGAGAAACAGTTCCATCAAATTAAAAAAGATTGCTTACCTTATCGCATTTTGCCCACAAGAAAATACTATTGCATCCACATAGGAAAGACCACTACTGTCTACCATTCACACCAGTAATTCACATTGGGCGCCAGGCATCGACCTTTCTAGGCCCTAACAACCCCCCATTCTTTAGGGCAAAAAATCGACAGAGATGCCATGTCTGAGACCAGCCTAAGGCAATCTCGACTCCCACTAGAGGGGGTGTTCGTACCGCGGGGAGCATTCTTCCCCACGCAGGCCCTGTTTCGGGATCAATATCGATAAATGAAAACAAGCGTCTCGGGGTTGTTATCCATATTCAGGCAACATTCCAGAGGAATGTCAGTCGATGTGGATCTGAATGGAGCATCGCGTGGCCTTATGCTTCCAGAGTTGCACTCGGATGATGTTACAGGAGGGTGACAAATTGACACAACTCTATCGGTCTCCTTTTTTTTTTAATCCAACCTAAAACCATCAGAATTCATACACCAGACACAATGCGGATCACATCAGCACAGCACGGCAATGATGTACATGTACTCGTTTGAGAGGAACACCTGTGATCGCCACCTCCGCCAAGAGCGACAAGAGGAACACGTGTGTACACAACAACATCATAAAAGACGCCATTAATCGCACGGCAGCCATGCCGACACTGTCTGTGTTGTAGCTAGCAAAAGATACACGGGACGAGTCGTGAAACAATTCGCCGAGTCGAAGTTCTTATTACTTGATTGCCTTTTTTTTAATCACATGGCCATAATATTTGGGAAGTTTTATGCCTCCTGTGGCTGAATAACATTCATTTGAAAATAACGTACCCAAAAATGAAGCAAAAATTAGGCCTATCTTCTAATTACAAAAGAGTGGATTAAACCCTCCCCACTTAACCCCGCCCCATTATCATGACTTTCGGGGTACAGAACTTGTTTCATACGACAGAAGGACTTTAGGCACAAAAATTGGATGGAAAAGGGGGAAAAATGATTGTAGCATTTTTTTTCATGGCTGTGGTTAGTTTGTTTGGTGGGTCTACGATTCATCGTCTTGATTTGTTTGGTGGGAGATCTATATTAAAAAACGCGTGATTATCAGTGGCCGTTCGACTAAAGCATCAATTAATCAAAGAGGGCGCTACTCTGCTCGCATTGCCTCGGGCAGTGTTATTTAACATTCATTTGATTGTTATTAGGACCAAACATGTTTAAGATCATTTAAATTCTTAAGTGAATCTGTCCAGGCCAGTTTTTTTTTAAAGCAGAAAATCAGAGCGCAGAGAAAAGACCCTGGATGATGCGTCCGCATGAAAGCCGCTACTGTCTCAAGCGATCTGTCACTGAAAAGGAAACTTAACGCGTAGCCTTCGAAACATTGCTTGCACTAAACTGAACTGAATAACTTCAAACTTCAGCCTAGACTCTATTGTCTGACATGGCTTGCCTAACACCGACAGAATCTGAAAAGAGGTAGTCATGTGCGGATCCGAGGGGGCGGGGAGTTAAGGGGTCACCCCCCCCCCGCTCTGACACACACCCCTCGAAAAATGAAACAAAAATAATTGTAGTATTAATTTAAACAGTGGGAAAGAGTTCCATATCCGGACATCACTTGACACCCCTTGCCCAAACTCTATGAGACTAATCTGAAAATTCTCTCGTCCTTCCGGCCGGGATATTTTCACTGCTAAAGCTGCTTTTTCCGACACATCACGTGCTGGTGGCAAGGGACAGGTGTCTGACATGGAACTCCTTACCAAAAGATGCCATCATGTGCCATTATTTGTACACGGTGTACATTTATTTATAGGGGACTGGCTGCATCCTAGTGAGTGCATTGGTAACAATGTAATGCATTTATCCGCCTGTTCCCCGGCCAGCAATCGAACTTTTCAAAAATAATCGACCGAGCCTGACCCCTCCAGGAAAAATTCCTGGATCCATCCATGGAAGTAGAGCCCACAGGACCAAAGCATACGTGCTTGCAAGTTTTAAAGAGTTTTACAGAGACTATAATATCTGACGTGAAAATTCTGCTGCCACACTGGAAATTATCATGTCACCTACTATGTACTCAAAATGAATAGACTCAGTAAAATATTTCACAGTGTCGATTTTACAGTTCTCAGTGATTGAGGGCCTACCTGTTATCGGTCAAACTGCAGTATTTTGGTGGACCCAAATCGCCTTCTTTTTCCTGTCAGAGATTATCCCACGGTGTCACACTACTATAGACTAAGAGCTGTCACTTAATGCGGCGTGCGCAGCTGAGCCCAGCATGGGTCTTCTGCGAGCTTCGAACGGTAGCCCTGGCATCACATCCACGCCGACGTAGGGAAAACTGTGACGGGGGGAAAGTAGCCAAAACCCGCACAGAAACTCATAGTATTCCCGCCATCAACAACAAACTGCTGTCGGAGAATCTACATGTACATTGTCAGTGCGGTGTACTCATGACAAAAAGTGGACACGCATGATAGATGTCTCCTGAAAGTCGACGCACAGGTTCAACCTTGGTGACAATCGGAGACCTTTTCCCCAGCTCAACACACATTTACTATGCCGTGTACATAACGTTGAAGTCGGCTGCATGAGTGTCAACACAAACTTCGATTAGTGAAAAGAACCCTTTTGTGTTTCCCGGCCTTTGTTATTTTCTCAGTGTGCGCCTCCCAACACCTGAAGTTATTCTGACCCACTCGATGACATGTTAACGCCAAGCATAATTCCCGCTAAAATCTCGAGTCTGACATTAAAGTTGGGCTGGCTTTCTTCTGTGAGCAGTAATTAAATTGTTATCAACTTAAACGGCATCGTGTACGTGAGAGGTGTAATCACCATTTTAAGAAAGCCACCTTGAGTTTCTCCGACTCGCCCATATTTATGTGAAATTATGGCTCAATGATGTTTCTCTTTTATTCTGCCCAGTATTCTATTCGGACTTTTCTGTATGTTAAACTACAGAAGTCTGAAGACTTGCAATATCATGTACGCTGCAAAGTCCAAAGCATGACTTCACCCCAGCCTGTGTAGGCTTACCGAAGACACACTTGTCACAAATCAATAATACAGCCCTAAGCAAATGGGTCTGACATGCTCCGTATTGACCCATACACTATAGTTACAATTGTCCTTGTGTTGGAAACACATGCCTGAGTTTCCGCAAATGTCAAGGGTGACACTTTCGCGATACCCATTGAACTTCTAGTTTTGATGGCATCCACATTTAAAAACAAAATTAAACACCAAAGCAGATGCTGCCTTTCAGAATTTCCATCCTTAAAACAAACCGGTGACCACGCAAGGAGTGTCACTTTCACAGCTAAATCAATAAAATATTTATAAGTGTTTCCAGGAAATTTCGCTGTTCATCTCTCAAATACAAAATGGGGAAATAGGACGGGCCTGTGTACAAATGTAATTTCCTGTCGTCTAGTTCAACATTATATCTCTGTTTCTGCGTTTTGATTGGAGAAAAGTTCTGCAGCTGCTCGACATGCAAGCTTTCGAACGTGCGGTTCTTGGGGCTTCAGACCCCCCCCGACAAAATTGTCTTAGCGCCCACAAAAACGGAATACAGGCTGGTTCATTAAGAAAGCATAACAAAATCACCACCAAAGAACTGGAAACTCATACATCCCACGTACAAAATAAAACAAGTTCTTTTTAATGCCAACTTTGAACTCTCTGTGCAAAACCTTGCACGACATGCAATCATCAGAGAAAATCGAGCTAATTAACGAGTAAGAAATCATCAACTCTGGCCCTAAACTCTCGTCCCTAGCTGAGCACCTGGGAATTACCACAGGTTCTTCACAAGACGCACAGAATAATTTGTCTGATCCGTCACCATTGAATAAATATAGTCCAAAGCACATGAATTGAAACAGCACCTGTATTTTAAATAGTTCAATACACATTTTGTTAGTCTTAAAGATTTCAAGTCAAGATGCTAATCTAAGTTAACAAGCCTAGCGTCGGGATAGAAAATTGGTAGAGCACATTTGCAGATCTGTCCAGTTAAAACGAAGGAGCAGGAAGACATTTTTGGACGACAAAACCAGGTAATTTCTTCAGAATACATAACAAGACGAGCTGGCAAATAAAACTCAAACTGTGCACAAGCACATGAGAATAGACATTTTTCATAGAGGAGCCATTTTTTATCATGTTCCTCGAATCTATCTCATACAATAAACTTTGTCAAATGGGGTGGTACCAGACTATTTGGGGTTGCGCGCCTCATTTTTTTTTCCAATGTTGCTTAAAACATTTTAGATTGGTTCTTTGAATTACTCATCATCGTAAACAAAGTCTGCGATGAACTTTGTTTTCATCGCTTTCCTTTTTATTCTTAGGTAACCCAAATCAAAGTGTTAACCCTTTTCTATTCAATATGGCTGACTTGTGATTGGGGTTAATTGCTAACGTGCCACCTGATCCTAAAATGAGACTTATCGGGACGTGTGCACTCTCGCAGCACATTTACTCTCAATCCATGATTAAATAAATACTGAACAGAGCAGACCTCTTTAGTAATAAGAGTAATCTGAAGATGAAATATACCACATCTGGCGCAGATTTCTGTTTACCGTTTCTTTGATTTGTTTTTCGAAGTGGCAATACCAGCTAAAAAGCTGAGATTAAATTGGCGAGGTGGGTCATCTCACATCTGATTTCTGTTTACGGTTTCTTTGACTTGTTTTTCAAAGTGGCAATACCAGCAAAAAAGCTGAGATTAAATTGGCGAGGTGGGCCATCTCACATCTGAGAAGGCAGAGGAAACCATCACAGAAATGACTGTCACAGACCCCGTCACAGGATCGCCTTTTTCGAATGAAACCTTAAGAGTTACTGCTACTGCCAGCATCTTCTCTGGCAACTTGCTACATGAATACGTGCAGGCGCCCGCTGGAGTTGGCGCCAACTATGAGGTCCCTGGTTGGGTGGAATGCGTTGACGGAGCAGACAGACCCTAGCGCCTCGTCCATTAGGCTGTGAATCAGACGGCCCTGGTCATCAAATAGATGAATCTAGGGGAAGTGACCACAAAAAATGAAACAGTATTAGCCACAACTGAGCAATTAAGAGCTGGTTTTATTTCTGTGTTGTGTTGGGAGAATCGGTCTCTAAACATATCCCCCCAAGACGCCCCACGGGGTGAGATTGACTAACAATGAAAATAGCTGAAAACAGCTAAAAAAAGAAAAAAAATGAAATCCCAAACAAAAAAAGCTCAAAACAGCTGAAAAGCCGAGAAATATCACCCCTGGCCCCAAAACTTACTCTCCTGGGTCTTTCCATGCTACCGACGACGATCACGTCTTCCCGTCTTGGGTGCCAGCCGGCGCGGAAGGTTGTCAGCCAGCGACCGGTGTGGTTGTCGTGCCTAAGAAACAGTAATGATGAAAACTTCCCCCTTTTAAATATGAAACTTCAGAGAGCAGAAAATATTACTTTGGTTCTAAGCATGGTATCATGGAATGGCTCAGCAAAGAACAGTCAGGGGCATAGCCGGGGGGAGAGAGACGTAAACCCCCCACAAATTCCTGGTGCCCCCTACTTAAAAAAAAAAAATGGATATTGAACACGGCTAACAAAAACTTGCCCCCAAAAAACGACACCACTGGAAGCTGGTGCCCCCCGTAAGATGCTGGTGCCCCCTTTGTGCCCGCCCACTAATAAAAACCGAGCTACGTCACTGCAGAACAGTTCTTTGTGAAGCGAGGTTACCAGCTTCAAATGTCACCTAAAGTGTGCTGCTGCTGACTGGTTCACAGCCTATTTTCAATTACCACATCAATCCGCTGATATTTTCTGCCTATTAGCTCTAAGGATTTGGAGTACAGAGAAGTCACTTAGGGCCGTCAATAAAAATCAGTACCATGAAAAAATTTGTCGTTCACTGGTAAGAGAGTGGTCAAGCAAGACAGAAGAACGGGACAAGGAAAATTCACTCGATCTCACCTGATGGCTTTCTCAACTTCCATGTTGCCGCTTTCCGTCACGTCCAGTATCCTTCAGGATATGAACACACAGCATGAAGGTGAACGACATCATTTCAAAGAAAATGGAAATCAGCAAAGTATGTGTGCAACCCCTGCATGAACTGTTCTCTAAATAATAATTAATTGGTTCGAATTGACTCGGGCAGGGTTTGAACCTGCCACCTCCAGAATACAGTCCTAGAGTCCTGACACTGGTCTGAGCAATCCAGTCCCGAGTAGGCAGGTTCCCTATTCCTCAGTCTCTGCTACGGAGTGTTTTGTGACAAACCATTCCGTCTTCTTCACATATCAGCACTAGTCCGGAAGTCTGGGGTTCGACGCCCCTCTTGGCGGCTTTTCTCATTTATTTCAGCTTCTTCTCCAGGAGATCGCAAGACACCAAGGATTCATCCCTCGTGTAGTTTGAAGAACAAAATTTCTCTCAAATGAAACCTTCTGAAATATTCTCTTGGCATGGTTTTACAGGATCGCCTAATATTGCCCCCGAAAAAAGAACAGTCAGGCATCTTTAGGTAAAAAAAAAAAACAATCAGCAACACCTACCTGACCCTGTCATCGTAGGATGTCGTGACAGCCTTGCTGCCGGTAATCGGGGAAAAGTATGCAGCGGAAACGCTCTTGCCGTGAGGTACTGAGGAGATGGACTTGCAGTGGCCGTGCTCCTTGAGCGACCGAAGGTCCCACAAAGCAACAGAGCTTATGAAAAACCAAAAGAAAAGAAGATGTGAATAGCAATGCAGCAATGCAAAGACTGACTTCTAACCTGGAAGGAGCACTAAGTTAAAGCAGGGATGAGATTGGTCAACGATAAAAATACATGTAGCTGAAAACAGCCAAAAAAAAGCATAAAGAAGCTGAACTTTGAAAATCTCCTATACATTTGTACACAGCCAGTGAGGAAAAAAAAGAGCTGAAATCAGCTAATAAGCTGAGAAGTCTCATCCCTGTGAAAGGTCCGGTCGGACACGGCTTGCACCGGGGCAAAGTATGGATGCATGCAAATACTTGGGGCAACAGAGTGCACTGTTTTCAACATAATGCGCACAAATCCAGTCGCATCACTAAGAAGGGTACTGCAAGAGCATTAACCAATTCTACATTCCAAAAGGGCAGGTACTTGGGAGATGCTTTTGAGCATTAACCTAAACAAAGACACCTACTACAAAACGGGACTGAACGCACACCACCGATTGCCAGAACATGATTTTCAGGCTCTGAGAGGCGTTCAATTCAGCTGGCGTTACGGTACTCACCTGTCGTTGGAAGCGGTCACAAAGTACTGCGGCTTGGTGGGGTGAATGTGAACCGTTTTCACATATCGGTTGTGCAACCAAAAGCCTAAGCTAGAAGTGTGACTGCAGAAGGGAAGAAAGTCCAAAGGAAGATTTTTTGGGGGTCTGAGCAAATAAATATTTGGCTTTACTGTTCATTAAACTCTAGAAATATTGGCTGATATTTCAAACTCTCCTCGAAAGCTTGCCGGCTTTTGCAGGACTATGAGGGCCAATTCACTATAGCTTTAAAATGTACACGCACCTAGAGTGTAGTATTGTTTTATCCTGGATTATTTTTGACCTTACACCAACGTCTATTCACGTTGTATTCAAAGGGTTGCCAAAAATGTACAAGTTTGCTCAAGCAGGATTCAAATCCACAACGCTGCAAAGCGCTGCAAATAATGTCCAGTAAGTTTGCTACGCAGGTGAGGATTTGGAACACTCGCGTTGGTTCCTGGCAATGTCTAGAGAGCCAGGGCTACGTCTGGCAAACAGCTTGTTGGTCTGTCTGACGGTCCGCGGGTCAGGCCTGCAAGGGTGAAAGGTTACCCCCGCCTCTCACCTTCTCACTCTGGCGTCGACGACCTGGACGTATCCCTTCTGCTGGTTCTGGGCCACCAGCAGCTTCATGCCGTCGGGGGAGAGGAAATCAAAATGGTTGAGGAAGACGTCGTCATCAACGTCGGTAGTGTGGATCTGACAACACAGGCCAGACAGGAACAGTAAATGTAAGAAAAAGATTCCACTCTGAACGCAGGCCCGCAACTTGGACTTCGACAAAAACAATGAAATTCCAGTTTTCCAAGACTTTGTACAGTGTTTTCAATTTTCAATGGCATGTGTGTGAAGTAAAAAATAAAGAAATCAGAGGAAAAGTTGCATACCTGTGAACACTGTTATTTGTTACTATTAGGGCATGCAAAATGTTCACATTTTGGACGGTTTGGCCTCTGTTGTAGCGCAGAAACGGTGTCCAACACTCAATTCAATCAGAGTTGATCAAAGCATGGCTCACGACAGTTCTTACTTGGACTTGCTCTAATCTAAGATAGGATGCCCTTCCAAAACTTGCTAGCGAGAGAAATTAGGATGACATTGCAGGCCACACAGAACTGGCTGTGGAAAGAGTGGTAGGTGTTGCAGTGCAAAACGGGGAAAAAATGTCATAATAAACCCACGTTAAACAAAGTTTTTCAAAGAAAAATAGGCAGTGGTAAAGTCAAGTCCGTCACAAGAATCGGTTCCAAAAGAAAAACTGAACAACCAACGTCTGTGACTTTTCAAACACATTCCATCACATGTACATTTAATGCCATTTTTCTGAAAATAGTTGTTTGGTGTTATGAGCTAGAAGACTTCCATAGCCACTAGTACAGACCGACAAGGATAGCCTGAAAATTTATCACTTTTTGGTTATCACATGAAAAGCTGCCCATCAGATATAACTCTTGACAGATCTGGATTTCCATGACTTTTCCCTGACTTTTTCCCTAACAACACGATTCCAGAACAACCTGTTTTTTTTTCAACTTTTCCATGTCTTTCCAAGACAGCTTTTTTTTCTTGATTTTCAATGACTTTTCCCTGACTTTTTCCTCTGACAACACGATTCCGGGACAACCTCTGTCATTTTCAACCTTTCCATGTCTTTCCAGGACAACTTTTTTTCTTGATTTTCCATGACTTTTCCAAGATTTTCTCCTCTAACAACACGATTCCGGGATAACTTATGTCATTTTCAACCTTTCCATGTCTTTCCAGGACAACTTTTTTCTTGATTCCATGACTGTAGGAACTCTGCAAGATTAGTCACAGACAGAGGCAAGAGGGCAAACACTGACAAAGGAATGCTTTGTCACAGTTCATCTGAATAGCCCATGACATGGCTTCTGACTGGCACGACTTGTGATTGACGGAAAGCCCTCCCCCCTGCCCCTGAAAACAGACAACATTGGGTCAAAAGAAACATCATATCCCAAATTTTAGCTGTGAAAGAAATGATTCATTCACCTCGTCAAAGATGCCCTTCTCAAAGTCCCCGCACCGGAGCGTGCCGTCGTAGCTGCAGGAGAAGAGTTTGGCAGGGCTCTTGGGGGCAAATTGCAGGCAGCTGACGGGACGGGAATGCGGTTCAAAGAGGTACACACCGTCGTCCCCCTCAGCAGATTCCTTAAAAAACAATGGCAATGAGGGAATTAAGACAAATGAAAGATCTGCATACCAGGCTTTTCATCAGGACTGGTGGACCAGAAAAGCAAAGTGGCCAACAAATTGTGACTGCTTCAGTAATATATCGAGGGCTTTTTCTCCATTCCTAAAAGATTCAACAGCCAACAGAAAATTGGACGCTGCACCACCGGCCTACAAGTCGGTTTCTACATATCAAAACAAACACAGAGAGAGTACATTCAAGCAACATGGAAGAAAATTCAGTGAAATCACTCAATTGGTATATATTCACGTATTATTATAGTCAACACTTCTACACTTCAACTCCATCAAATGACAAAACACTCCAAAGTTTTGTCTCCAAAACGTGACGATGTTCCCTCAATTTGATGTCGTGGGCGTCAGATGCAAAAATAGAGCAGATTAAAAGAAAGATCCCAAAGATCTTTCTATGGGAACCATTCTTTTGTTTTTGGGTTGGGGTGAAATCGCTCCATTGATATCCTGACATATTGCATATATCACTACCTCGTCACCATGACAATTTTTTTCTCTCTCATGAAAAAAAACTCTCTAAAAATGCTTTCAAATACTCAATGACCACCTCTAAAACTTGGAGGTTGCAGTTGCTGGATTAAGAGAAAGTGCAGATCAATCATCAAAGGTTTTTCTACAGGAACTGTTTTGTTTTGCTTGAGGGTACGTACCACGTCCCACACTCCAACCCTTCCCCATTTGTCACCGGCACAGGTGATGATTTTGGAAGCTGACGGGTGGACGGCCACGGACAGCACCCTGTCCTTGGTCACCTTGGCGATGCGCTCCGGCGCCAACCTCATCCTCTGCAGAGTCTTGGTGAACGCAGCGAGGTCGGGCAGGCTGGGCTCCTTCTTGGGCGACTTGGGAGATTGCGACATATTTGTGACGGACTTGAAGAGGCGCGAGGCTGAATTCTCCCCACCGTCGTCGCTGCCGAGGTTGGTAGGTTCCATGTCAAACGGTCCAGATGGCTTCCGAACCTGGGCCAAAAATCATTTCCATGACTATAGTTCTGCATTTTAATCCACAAGTGCCGGAATTTTAAAACAAATGATCAGGACACATACCAAAAATATTTTGCAAGACACCTGCTTTATGTAACAGTAAACCTTAGGCCGGAAAAGATAATCTTGCTCATTGTAACAAAAATTCTACACCAGACTTGCACTGATGGATCTAAATTCATTCCCTGGCTTGGAATGAAAAACAACTTTTGAACAAAGGAAAGCTAAAAAACCTAAATTTTTCGATTGCAATACACACGTAAGAAGGTGCATCATCAGCGTAAATGGGCGCCGGTGCATCAGGCAGGGCCACTCCCTCTGGATCCATCCGACGAATCCGCAAGGACAAAGGCCGTCTGGGCAGGGGCTCTTTCTCTTTCTTCTCCCTGGGACAAAAAGTACAAGTGAGGCCAAAACAGGGCCAAAGTGACCAATTTCTCAGCGGAAGTCTTGACTCATCTTGACTAACTTTGTAAATTTTGAAATTTAAAATTCCTTTTCTGTCTTCTAAGAAACCCTTCATCATTTTCCAAATCCTCACCGGCACTTTCATATTTAGAACAAAAAATGTTTATTTGCATATATACATTCAATATCCAACTACCTAGTAAATAAAAATGCCTTCACTTTTCCTCTTCTTAGAAAATCTTAATACTCCACCATCTAATGCTTACTTACTTTGACATTTGGATATTTTAACCAAGGATCATAGCTTTTGATGTTTTCAATCAAACACTCTAATAAAATCAAATCACACCTTATTTTCACAACAGGGTCACTGTCTTGCCTATTCAAATCCTCTATGAATGGGTTTTTTGACAACTGTTTCGGCAAACAATATGTCAGTAATCTTTCTATTAAATGACACTTCTGATTTCAGTGATTAAAATCAAATTGTTTCTTTCCTTTCAAAGGCAGGTGTCTCTACCTTTTAAGACCCTTTGTGATGGTGCTCTTTCCCTTTGATGATGCGTACTCAGACAGCGTGTTCTTTGTCTGCAAATTCAACAAAATAAAAACTCTTATAATGTACAAATGTGGAATAATACATGCATATTAGTTTCCAACAAAGGGCGAAGAGCTCAGTCGCAGATATTGTAGACACACACAGCAATTTTTCATTTGTAAACGCGGGGGATCAAGTTAGAGATGTGGCTTTTTGGCCCGGGTTCAAATCCCACCTAGGTCCTTGTATGGATTGTTAATTTCTTGTAGTCAGCCTAAAGATGATGATACAAAAAAATCCACAGCTTCTTACCTTTGAAATTCCCAACGAAGCAAAGAATTTGGCATTTTCCTGAATATTCTGTAGTCTTTTCTTTTCATATGCTGACATCTCTCCCTGGGAAGAAAAGGACCGACTACTTCGGTGACTGAATTGTTGGACTGAGGCTATAAATTCATCAATGATTACAATATGAAAAATCGGTGACACGGATACAAAAAATCTGTAATTTTTGCCCACTCGTCACAGTGTTCACCACAGTGCACGGTGAGACAGAATGAGGGTCATCTGTGAAAGAGACAGGCCGTTATATGCCATGAGTTGGGAAATGGAAGATGAACAAGTTGACATTTGGTCCAACAAAGCGAAAAGATAAATCTTTCTCTTTCCAGTTGTGGTACATGTAATTCCCCAGAAGATTTAAAACATTGGTTCAAAAAATCCCTTTGGAAATGGAGATGCTCCAACGACCCCTTATTCCATCTCATCATGCACTGCAGTAAACACCGTGTTAGCCATCAGTCCATAGGGCTTTTGCAAAGAGATTATTCGCTCACAGACTGGGGAAAGCCAAGACCAGCTGACGCTGACCACTGCAGCAAACACCCTGTTAGCCATCAGTCCATAGGGCTTTTGCAAAGAGATTATTCGATCACAGACTGGGACAAGCCAAGACCGGCTGACGCTTACATCAGAATCATCTGAGTCTTCATTGTCGTCGCTCATCTTGTTGCTAGGCAACACCCACTCCTCATCTTCCTCTTCCTCTTTCACTTCCTCCTTGATTGCCACCTTTTCCTGCTTTACAGCCGATTGCAGCCGAGAGGACCCAAGTCTGGCCGAGGTTCTGCGCGGTTCGAGACCGTTCTCCGATTTGATGCTTCGGACAACCTTCTTTCCGGGCCCCTCGTCGCTGCCAATCTGCAGTTTCCATAGTTACGAGCACAAAAATCACTACTGATCAAACATATCTGAAAATGTACAGTAGAGCTTTGTCACGGGAAACTATGCTTTGCTTCCCGGTATTTCTTGCATGGGCTGAAACAGTTGAGCAAAGCAAGATGTAGCGATATTAAAACCAAAGTCAAATAGGCTAAGTCAGATGAAGTCAGATTGGAGCGACCGAATCACAGACAGAAATGGTGGTGACCACTTTTGTTTTCCTCCGAGCTCGTCCTGAGCTGATTTGGCCTTTGAATGAAATCCAGTCACAGGATAATCAACTCAGGAAGGAGTGCACATGATAAAGCTGTGCAAGAGTCAAGATTGTGCTAAACAGCGCCACACATGCATAAATGGCGTAGCCCCTGCCTTTGGTATCGATGGTCTGCACAATCGCTCACAGTCAATCTTGCGGCACCATCTGTTTATCCATACGCTGTCAGCTGGTCATTTTTTTTGTTTCTATGGGACAGCGGGGACATCCAGGATTCTCGCAAAATGGCAGGTACCACGCCAGAGAAAACAGCGATCATGGTCTGAGGATTGGGTTACACAATCTTTTCTTTGATCAGTACGCACGTGCGTTCGTTGTAATTGTTTTCATCGGTGCAGTGTGGTTGCTACCAGCAATTTTGTGAAACTCCCGGATGTCTGCGCTGCCCCATTAAAGGTTTGCACGGCTGCCATCTTGCAGGCCAGTGCTTTTGTTCCACAGGGTATGCACAAAGCAGGTTTCCCTGTGGAACGAAAGAACTGCCCTGCAAGATGGCTACCACGCAAAGCCTCTAATCCCATTTCTCATGTTAGTAATCTCTGGCTTTCATGACTATGGGAGAGCAAGCAAGAGTTTCATATGCATGTATGATTTTCCCTTGCAGTGGTTTATAAGCCATCAGAAAGAGTTAAGATGTCCTCAGATGTCAAATGTAGCAGTGAAAATATTGCAGCGTTTACTCAGAAAACACAGACCAGTCTCACAGGATTTGTGCACTGAGTGTCAAATGATGTCTCTGCATGGAACTCTTTCTAAATTTCCTTTTGGAAATAGGAAATAAAGTCCAAATTCCAATGAGACTGACTGCATAGTGCAGTGCAATCAACATGATCAACCGACACTGCCCAGATTGCGTCCAAAATCAGTGGCAAGACTTGTGCATGTACGGTATGCCATACGGGCCTCTGTATCACAAACGGTGTTAGCATCTGCCAATGTCCACCATCAAGACAAGTGCCAAGTGAACCTGTCCACCATCAAGACAAGTGCCAAGTGAACCTGTCCACTATCAAGACAAGTGCCAAGTGAACCTGTCCACCATCACGACAAGTGCCAAGTGTACCTGTTCACCATCAAGACAAGTGCTAAGTGTACCTGTCCACCATCAAGACAAGTGCCAAGTGCACCTGTCCACCATCAAGACAAGTGCCAAGTGCACCTGTCCACCATCAAGACAAGTGCCAAGTGTACCTGTCCACCATCAAGAAAAGTGCTAAGTTTACCTGTCCACCATCAAGACAAGTGCCAAGTGAACCTGTCCACCATCAAGACAAGTGCTAAGTGTACCTGTCCACCATCAAGACAAGTGCCAAGTGTACCTTACATCATGACAGCGACCCATCACATGACATAACAATGGGTCAAGATAGATCCGTGGTACAGTTGACAGACATGATAGAGGAACCAGTAGAGATACGCTCATACAGTGCTAGTGTTGTGCTGTGTGACCCAAGCGAGAAGAAGGAAAGAGTTCCCATATACGGACGCCACTTGACACCCCGTGCCCAAACCCTATAAGACTGGTCTGAAACTGGTTTTCTACATGGAAGTATTACGACTTTGTATTTTCCCTCCTAAATTGATCTTTTCTGGACATGTTTTTGTTACCTGATGGCTAATTAGGTCACTGTAGGAAATACTTACTGGCATCCGTATATAGAACTCTTCCCCAGGAGAAATAAAATGACTGACTACTGCAGAACTACTACATGTAGGCCTTGGGGTTCGTCATACCCCCCACACACTTTGGCATGTTTGGTGCAGATGGGCGTGACGAAACCCGTAGAAAAATAAGTTCCGACGTGAAAGTCTACAACTGCATAGGCTAGTCACATGGTGTTCATTTTCCTATAATAAGGGAACAAATTCTACTTTTTCGCAACAACTTATCTAAACAAGTTGTTGGTAATGGATATGTCCTCTTTGAGTCTTTCAAAATAGAAAGAAAAGAAACAGGACCTTGGGTTTCGAGAGAAATTTGGGGGTAAAACACTGACTCAGCGTACATGACCACCCCTAAGTCGAGCTCTGAACAATGGTAAATTAGGGGATTCATGTAGTCTGGTTCCAAAATGCCTGAGCTGGCACTTTGTTTGTTGTTTCCTTGCAAAATTGTCAAACTTTACCTAAACTAGGCCTATTAGTATTGAGTAACGGTTCCTTAAGGTCAAATGTTAGTTCATTTGAGAAAGTGGACTTTGTTTCCTTATTACTGATTACAGAAACGGGGTGCCAAAGGTAATGAACACCAGTCACATATCATTACATTAGTTTCATTACATTACTCATTAGTCGTGTTTGTTACAATACCGGTACCACACATGCCACAATCTCACACTCAGTAGGCATAAGTGGTGAAATATGGAACCTGGCGACTGGTTATGGGCATTATTTTATATGTTTTACGTGGTCAGATGGTTTAGGCAGGCCTGACTTTAGGCATGCTAACCTACGGGTTTGTAAGCCCTGGCATGCCTGGGCTTCTTCTTGTCTGCTTGTCGATCGTGTCGATGGTCATGTGAATGTGCCATATGGGCAACGAACGAATATCTAAAATCAAGGAATTTAAGTCATAAGTGCACGCTGCAAAGATGTAAAGCCATACAAAATTACCGTCTCAGTGCCTCGATTCTCCGCGGACAAGACCGAGAGTTTACAGGAGGTTAATACTGAGGAGGTGCCACCGCTGGGAAGTTTTGTAATGACAACTCGCGGTGTCCAATCTTCATGATCTTTCGACTTCAAACGATCATTTCTCTCCATCAACTTGAAAACACCAGCATTTTGCCTTACCCTACGCTTCTTTGACACCGGACTCACTGTTGTAGTGGACCCTCTCTTCAACTGTGAATTTTTCGGCATTTTTGGAGTAGATTTGTAAAAAATTGCAGCGCCTAGCATACCTTTTCTACTGCAAAAATTGAATCCTTACGTAATTCCGAGCGCGCGCTATTATTCCATAACACGCTCAAAAATTTCCCGCGATAGCGAAATTTCATTTGTAGCTGGTACCCAATCTCAAAGAGAACAGTATGAACAGTCTACAAGGAGGATTTGACCTTACGACTCAACAGCACCAGTCTTAAGTGAAAGACATATGGGTACCAGATCTGTCATCGCTGTATCCGCCATATGTCTATTTTTAGCATTGCACCAGACTTTACGGGACAAGGGGAAAACCCTAAAAAAAGCGCTAGTTGATGAGACATGAACGCGCTGATGAAGCGTGCAGTGGGAAATTTTCCAGCTGCGAACGTGAGTAGTGGTGGCGTTTATAGTGCCTCTCTCCTCGGTGATTTGTGAAGATGTGTGCCGCTTATTGAGCCGTAATGTCTACAGAAGTAAGCCAGGTTAGAGGAGACGCTGTTCGTAGACATTCTTCTCGACTGAAACTAAAGAAAACCAAGAGCAAAACTACTCAGGTAAGAAAATGGCAAGTGATTACTGATGACACTGCATTTAGGCCACTTTAAAAAATAGTTTAGCATCAGTTGTATTTGCAAAAAACGAGGAGGGAGGAGGTGTTTTTTTAAAAACACTTTGGTAGGTATGCAGATCTGGACTGTCGCAACCCCGTAACGAAAGCGCCATGTTCACTTCAGACTCGTGCACAGAAGAGCACATAACATTGTGTGTACATGTATTCAAGTCGCGTGTCGTGCTGCACTAAATTGTGTGGGCATTGTTAAAAACTACGGGGATGGCTAAGGTCATCAGAAAAGACAACTTTTAAAGAAAAAAATTTAAAACAACGTGCCACGATTTTTTGAGGGGGGCGCTGATGCTTAACAAATTATTTTTTCATGTGGCCTTTTGAAGAATGAATGAACTTTATCATGATTGGTCATGTTGGCTGGTTGATTGATTTTAGAGTGTCAGTTTTATTGCCTTCGTAATCCAAAAAAAAGGGAAATAGGCTAGTTCTGCTTCCGGTTACCAGAATAAAGTACTGTTAAGTGCTTTTAAAATTGCTTGAGCCTGGCTCTCTGATGGAAAATTTGTCGTACAACCACCAAATATTTGACATGTTTGAAGATTCAGTCAAGTTACAGGTTGAATAGTCCATTTTGAAACTGTCTCATCATTTCTGTACTAAAACAAGGTGCCCAAAAATAGCCTACCGGTAATAGCCTACATGTACTGTATCATGTACGTGGTGTACGGAAGACAGAAAGATGCCCAAACATGCCAGACGCCCCTCTGACATAAAAATGGATTAAAGCTAATGATTTCAAAAGCTGGACATGCTAGAGAAGGGGGCATTGGGCTCATGGCCCTGTGCTGCAGCTGCTGTATGTGTACTGTTAGGTGCAATATTTTATGCATGTATCGCATCAGTCGATTGATGTAGCGCCCTCGTGCGGTACCAGTCAAATACATTAGACCTGGCATATAGTGTATTGCAGATGAGAATACAAGGTTAGGACAATTGCGCTAATCTTACACACCGTACCTAGTGTTTTCCCTTCTCTGAAAAAGTTTTTGGGGTATCTGTCGTGAAAGGAAGAGGAACAGTCAGGGAAACCTTTTACAAAAATCCAGCTGAAAATCAAGTTCCCAGTTCAAGAAAAATTAGTATTTTCCCTAAGTTTTCTTAACTGCATGAAAAGAAAGGAATGTCCACAGCACAGAATTAAACAGCAGTAAATGTTTAATTCTGTGGGGATAGGTCTGGTAGGCCCAGACAGCTGGCTTTTGCATTGGGTTTGGCATACCTCAGAAAAACTCTAAAGTTTAAAAAGTCTAACAGCCTCTGTGCACAAAGGTTGGGGAAGGTTAGGGATAAACACCAAATTATATTTCCATGGTGTGAACGTGTACGTGGATGTGTATTTTTTATGTACGTACTTGCGTCACAGTTTAAGAAATTGACCTGGGAAAGTTTTTGAGGCCCTCAGTTTTTGGGTTTTTTTTAGCATAGAACAAACCAATAGAAACTACAAATTTAGGAGAAAGGAAAGTGACGACATGCTTAGGAGTTCCCCATCATAATCCGAATTGTCGAAGTTATTCATGACAAACAAGCAATTTCTTTTGTGTGGCCTTGGCTTGAGTGTCACTGCACCGCAGTGCAGGCAGATATTTTCAAATCTGCATGTGATGTGAGTTGATGAAGCTCTTTCCCGCTCACCCAAATGAGCTTTTAGATTAACTTGTCCTGCCGAGAGTGCCCCCTTCTGTGAATGCTAAGAAAAAAACACCTGCCGGGAAAGGGGATGTCCTTTCTCACCTCCCTCCTCTACCTCCCCTGGAGCGCAAGGCCCAGATGATTTGACTTTAAAATGACCGGATGTTGTTTACTATTCCACGGCGATATAATATAACACGTAGGGTACAGTCTCGTGCAAGGTGTGACTCCGTTTTCTTCGAACGGTTCTCACTCCCACCCGAAGTTGATGACCGGATGGATGATGGACCGGGAAAGGAACAGGGAGGCAGGTGGCCACAGCGGAATAATAAGATGGGTAATTTGGATTCTCATTTGAGATTAGTGGAAGGGGGGACCAGCGGACAGAAAGAGCACCGCATCAAGTCTGTCGATTCCAGACTGGATGTCTTTGTTGTCGTTGAGACAACACCGTGCACTGAAGGTCCCATGGCGGTCTTCTCATGATCAGCTAACCCACATGTAGGCCTACATTCTACTTGCGACCTGCATACGTACATGTACATGTAGTACATTTGTTCGATGATCGCTACACAGCATACAGGGGCCAATTTCATAGAGCTCCTTAAGCACAAAATTTGCTTAAGCAAGAAAAACGTTGCTTAAAAAACAAAGGGCACCAGCTTAAACTCTATGTGATTATCATGCTAACCAAAAGACAGCTAAATATGATCCCAAAACGATATACATCTCATGGAGTTTTGGCTGGTTACCTGATTTATCAAGCAAGGTTTTTCATGCTTAAGCAAATTTTGTGTAATCAGCTATGTGGACATTTGTAAGTTTGGTTTTTTTATGTTAACACTCAAGCGGCACGGGTCTGTATGGGTGAAGAAAGTTTTGCTGAAATGAGGGGCAAAAGCACCAAAATTGTCTACAGGTAGTGTTCTTGTGATGTGCCGCTCCCCCTTACCATGCAGCTGGAGGTGTGGCTCCACAATTCCCAAAGCTGACGAGGGGGGCTGTTACAGTACATCCGTGTATGATATCACCGACACATTGTGTCAAGCAGTAATGAGTAGTGTCATTCAGATTGCACTTTAATGGCTTTGCTCTCTGCACTTAATCGATCAAACTTGGACATGAACCATTCTCACAACAGCATGTCATATTTTCTGTACAGGACGCGTTTCAGAGATTAGTATATGGTACATATCGGTATACAGCTGTACTTGTATTTGGTGTCAGTACATACATTATGCTGTACATACATTATGTTGTTGACAGTAACTACGTGCTTTATGATTTCACTGAAGTCTGCAGATCTACATGTATCTGTAATGTTGGGACTTGGCTGGGGAGGGCTGTGGATTATGTCTACGTGTATGTCAGAACAAATTTCAGCCAACAAAATCTGTGTTTATTTGAAGACCTCAAACATGCCCCTTTTAGGTGAAACTTTGGGATGTTATTAAATAAGTATGTACTCTCAGAATCCTGCCAAAATTTCAAGTTCATCAACCAGTCAACTGGAGAGCTTGTTTCTCCCCAGTGCCGGTGGAAAAAGCAAACAAACACATGGCAGTCATGGTCTTTTTAGTATCCAGGAAAAGATGCTGTACCCATGTACATGTAGGGTAGCATCTACCGTACTTGTAGCTCTTTAAAAATCGTCACTTGGATCATTTGTGCCTGAAATACAGGTTAATTAAACAGCCTAGTACCCTGACTTGCAATTTTATTGCTGAGTGTTTGCGGCCCCTGCCAGTGGTAGCGCTCTGTCTCCCTGGGGTGGTTTCCTGTATAAATTCATTATGCGCCGCATCGTTACATAAAAAGGCCTGGAAACTGTTTGTAGAGACTCAAATGCAAATTTGCCCATGGCTCCCCACTCTCCCACTCTCCTGCCTGCAGTAGAACTGTACGGGCAGGAAGAGAGAGCTTCTTGGGGGGAAAAAATACAGACAGAGTTGTAAAAACAAGCCGAAATTAATTTATTGAGAGTCTTTAGGCTCGGACCGACTGCATTAAGTGGTTTATAGATGGAGAGAGGAAATGGAGATTTGAGCGTCATTTGGGAGGGCAGGTTTTATTTTTTTTTTCAATTTGTCTGTTGATCTGCCGTAGACCTGCCGGCACTGTAAATTTGCTGAATCTGTAGCATTTTTCTCAATGATCTTTGAAGTGTTTAGTTCCTGCCTCCATCTTGTTTTGACAGAGCATTTCGTGTTTCCCTTTTGACATGTTTGAAGCTTTGAAGGGAGAAGCTTGTATCTTTTTTACTGATGAAACCGGGGGGGGGGGGTCGACAACATTGTAACAATTTTCCAAGTGGAAGGGGCATCGGGCATCAGCCATCCAAAGTGGGGAGCCATAACCCCCAAGTTGAACAAGTACATGTACCGTAGGGGGGAAGACTACCCCCCCTTCCCACTTCCAGTGAGAGGGGGCAACATGTGAGACAGTTTATTCTCCTGGCTGTAATACTGTCAGAAATTATGTAGGAAATTATGCTTGTCCCAAAGATGGATCAAATGTACTGCCTACCGGAACACGCCCACCGGGTTTATGAATGTAATATTTTTAGCTGTTCATAGAAATGGGGCTTCTGGCGTAGTGTACATGTACACGTACATGCATATGTACCTTGAACAACCTTTCAAGCAGAAGTTGGACCATGCTTCTTATGATACGTACACGCTCATGTGTAAATCTGGTGATCATGCGTAAAAAGAAGTGTTTGGCAAAGTGCCAGTAAATTTGTTTTAATGTGCAGTTCGTGTACTGTGTACATGTAGACATGTAACTCTATAGCATTTATTCCAGAAAAGAGATTCTGTTCTTCGTTGCTTGATAATTTCAGTATCATGCTAGTAACACTCTTCG